AAAAAAAAAAAAAAAAAAAAGTAAAATCATATATAACAACAGGCATTAAAATGAAAAGACATTAGAAAGGTCTGGCGTCAAGAAAGCTCAGGCAAAGCAGTTCAAATTCCAGAGTAAAAGGTTCTGGATGCTCCTTGTTCAGGATCAACAGACCTTTCTCTTAAATTCTTTCAACTACACCTACAGAAACCCAGAGCAGGATTATATGGGTACAAACAAGTGCTTTTTTGGCCCGTTGGTGTTTCCAAGTGTGGCAGATGGAATCCAGTCCGACTGTCAGAGCTCGCGGGGCTGAAAGCTGGAATAACAAGCTAGTTACACCTACACACATTTAGGTGTGGAACTGGAGACAACTGAAACCTCCACAGCGCCACTTTTACATAACTTGAAATTCTTACATATTTACACAGTGAATTTGCCGCTCCTGATCAGAAGAGCAGTTAACGGATGAGTTTGGTGGTATCAGCTCCTTCTTATTGTTTCCCAAGACAGAGGATATTCCCCACTGGTGAGCAGTACTGTGTGTAAATGATGCCCCATAACAAAGGATAATTATTTTATTTCTTTTTTTAAAAGTAAAACCAGATGTTAAATACATAATGTTCTGTTAGGAAGAAAGGGTTTGCAAGTAGAAAGGGAAATTAAATTTTTTTTCCCTATTTCCCTATGGAGGAACAGAGTAGCAGATCAAATCATTTGTTCATGAAAAAAGAGAAGGAAGAAACTAGAGGTCTAACCCTGAGGTAAGCGGGCCAGATTTCCATATGCTGCAGGTCACGTTCAGCAGACTAAAGGCTCCTCTGCTTGGTATTTATTAAATAAGCTTTATGCTTGTTTAGTATTCATTCATGTTTCACCGAAAACACCACAAGAGGTTTGTGAGTTGAAGCAACTGATAGATTTTCTTCTATCTGGTTGCCAAGACAGAGTGGGCACATGCCACCTGGTGTAGCCCAAGTAGCATGAAGACCAGAGGGATGCAAGGAGCAGCTTCAAGCCTTTCATCTCTCTCTCCCAAGGCTATTCAGTGTGCTCCTCAGTGTGCTCCTCTGGAGCCTACTTACAAAACTCCCAAAATCTGCATACCTAAGGTGGCAAACCAGCCGGTATACAATTAAAATGCTTAATTTCAGCCGTTTCAAAGCAGTCACAAAATCATTCCCTCTAAGACTACATGAAATGTATCTGAATTGCTGTTAATAATAATATTAATCAATGAATGATACACGATGATGCCTAAAAAGTAAACATTGCTCCTCATCAGGGAAATAAAAACCACTGGGAGACTGCTGCGTGGGGAAGGAAACTGCAGCCTAGAACGTGGTAGGCCATGTGAGAAGATTCCAGCACTAAATGAAAGGAAAGAGGGAGAAAATAGGAAGTCCCTTGAAAGTAAACACTCAAGTGGTAAGTTAGTTTTGGATCATTACTGCAGGACCTCCCGCTGAAAGGAGCCTCTGCAGGAGTCAGAAGTGTCGCCTCTGATGTCACCGAAAGAGGAGTAAGCTGCTGACCTGCACATTTTCTCAATTAAAACATAAGCTTTTTTTACCCATGATGTCATCATCTGTCTATAAATGGATTCTTCAGGAATAGGTTGGCTGCATGCTTTGCATGCCTTTACAATGCATAATTTGATCCACCAGGGTGAGGGACAACGCAGCTCCCCGAGCCCTTTGCCACTCTGTGTGAACAGAGGCAAGCAAGCTTCAATCAACAAAGCTTGATCCTTTAGTATTTCTTCTACGTATTTACTGTGCCACAGGTTTTTACTAGGAGCTTATGGATTTGGAAATCATATCGCGAGGATAATTTTCTGTCAACAATGGAAGAGAGGTATTTGCTTTAGAAAGAAAAGCTCTGAATGCCTAATTGGACCCACCCTGTGATGGGCTGTGGGATACACCGTATGTTTCTGTGCAGATGGGGGGCACAAGCTCCGAGAACCTTTTGGGGGGAGGCAGCTGTGGTCAAAAACCAGATCTGAAAGCTAGGCATCGAGACCGCAGTTGACAAGAGACAGACAGTGACATTTAGAATGATGTGATCCATGTTAGCAGCTCACCAGGCAAGATGATCAGTTATAACACTGACATACATCCCAGCAGGAAAACGTGTTTTGACTGCAGATGTAGCCGTTCTCAGAGAACTCTCTGACAACCCCACATAAGACGTCACATGCAGCCAATGCTTGGTATATGCCAATGCTTGGCTGAATGCCCTCGTCTCCATCACTCTGCAGAATCATTAGGTTCTCAGGATTTCTTCTTGTTTGGGCTTTTCCCCTCACAAGAAATGGGTCTCTGACTAAACACAGGATTAAGTCCGCAACACTGAAGGCCATCCAGAAGATCACAGAGTGAAAATCTCTCTGAAAGATACTTCAAGCGCAACTAACATTTCTTTTCTCAGTAGCCATTCTCCCATTTGAAAATGGTGTGGGGAAATAAAGGCTTGCTTCCCTTCCAACCCAAGGGACTCCAGTCTCCTTGGAAGTTGCAGGGAGAACCAAAACAGTTTGTTAAAAAAAGTTTTTATCTTTAGCCAGGGTGGAATCAGAGCTCCCCGAGTAACAAAATGGTTGGACTACGCAGAGTCCTCTCTTTCTGACAAATGGTTAAAGAGTCCCCATTCCCAATGACATAATGAACTACTTTAGCTGCTCTCTGTCCTGTGACTGGCAAGCAGGTCAAATGTCCTTTTCCGAACACTGACCTTTTGTGAGATCAAACTGAGGACTTTCTGATCCAGACGTCATCCTGAGTTGTCTATTACACATTTCCTTTGTCACTCTGCTTGCTGGTTTACACCTACTACACTTACGTTATAAATTGTAGTAAAATTACATTACTCGATTTATTAGCTTTCTATTATTTTTATTGCTTCAAGAAGGTATTCAAGTTCCTGTCTATATGCTATCACCAGTGCATCCTCTGAGTGGTGTACACTGTGGCCACCCGCATTGTCCTCATTTCGGAGTTAGTGAGCGGCTGTGCGGTGTTTGGCTGCCTGCCGGGTTAAACCACGACAACCACACACCTCTGGAGTGCTGGTTGCAACACCGTGACTCCCGAAGGCTGATACTCCTGCAAGTAAAGCTCCCCATGCTCTGAACAGTGCTGTATCTCAGATGCGCTTCCACCGGATTACACTGCCATCTACTGCGATAATGGGACGTCTAAGAGACAGGTAGAAATAATGGTATTTTCACAGGTTCTGTCCACCATCTGAGAACCAACAGAAACCTGAACAGCAGTGTTGCAAACTGGTATTAGACTGTGCCACATGCAAAAACTACTCTCTGCATCAAGCTCTTTGAAGTGTTGCAGACATGCCAAAACATGCCTCCTAATCCACGCTTTCACGGTTTTTACCTCTCCAAACATTTATTTCAGCAGATTGAAGATTTCTTTGCTTTGGGTTTATTTTCTACTACTACCTTACCTAGTTTCTCCTATACAGGAATGGGAGAAATTACATTATCTGTAATGTAATTTTATATTTGCACCAACTCCCAAGATAAGGGAAGGAAGCTTAAAGTGGTGATAGGAAAAAAAAAAAAAAAAAACACACCAAAACACAAACCACCCACAACAAAACCACAAAACCCAACCTCCACATAATTCTAGGAATGCCAGAACGAATGAAACCTAGGTCACAGTGAATAAAGGTAGTTGTCTTATGGTGTCTAATAAACCCTTGACTCTATTTCAAGCTCTTCCTATGGCTGGGAAGTTCCCAAAGCAGATTGTCCTATTTTCAATACAGGCAGAATTCACGGTGCAGCTTTGCTCTGAGCAGACTCTCAGCCTTCCCTTTTCACAGAACTTGCCAGAACTTCGTATCATGAAAACCTCTACTTCTGTCACATGTCAGTTAAAATTGAAAAGCAATTCACAGAGCAGAGTAAGAGAACACAGTGAAAACTTCTATTTAAAGGAGTGCTGAGTTTGTGTATTAAGAACACCTCAGGCTCCAACTGCCTCTGTGCTGCTATCAGCCATGCTCCCAGCCCGGTTCCCACCTCCAGCACTCCCATTTACATTGAGGCAGATGGTGCCGAGCACTCTAACATTCAAAGATGGCCAGAACAATTAGCAAAACACTGAAATTGGGTAAAGCTAAACATTGGAGTTTGACAGAATCAAGACAAAGGTCAGACAAAAATCCTTACCTGTAACTATGCCATAATTTGGAGGTTCAATGACGGCTCCGTAGAACTGAATGATGTTTTTGTGACTGAGCACACTGAGTATTTCTGCCTGTTGAAAACAAACAAACAAGTTAGACAATTAAGAATGGGACATTTACTATGACAGTTTATTTTATACCCAAGCGCATATACACACATATATAACATATATATATATATAAACACACACACACACGTATCTAGGAAAGACTGTAGACAAATGCTTGGCATTTGAAAACCCCATGAGAGAGTTTGGGAGATGAATGCTTCATATGTTTGGGG